TCATCCCAGGCACTAAGAGGCCACCTGTTCAATTCCCAGTCAGAGCACATCCCCAGTAAGGGGTGTGCAGGAGGCAGCCAACTGGTGTTTTTTTCTCTCTCTCCCCTGTCTCCCTTCCCTTCTCTCTAAAATCAATAAAAACATATTTTAAATTTATAAATATGGGACAGGAGAAAAAAGGATTAATGAAAGAAAAATGTTAACTTTTACAGCCTGGGATGATGGAGGAAATAATAATACTAAGATAAATTTTGAAATGTATAATGATTTTTGTTGTGGGGGGAGTGAAAGAGAAGGAATTATTATTTGCTTAGCTTTATGCATATTTGAGTTTATTGTGATGGTGAGAAGTCCAAGTTAAGAATTTTAAAGGGATAGTGAATATAGTAGGGGACATATAAAGTTAGGTGCTGGCAGAATAACTCGCCTTGTTTACTTCTGTATATCTCCAACCTTTTAATTTCCTTTAAGCATTGGAACCGTGCCTTAATCATCTTTCATTCTCCCAAGTCTTGCTTAGCACGCGGTAGGTGCCAAAGAAGCCACTATGACATTCAATTGAAATCTAGAGAGAAAAGAGCAAAGTACTAAGAAATTTCCACTTTCTCCTAGAAAAAGTTCAAAATATTACCTTCATTTTTTTTAAGGCTCTGCTAGAATTGACCTATTTTAGAGACTCCCTCTTCTGCTAACCAGAGAGTCCATCTGCATCATTCGTGTCCTCCAGTCAAATTTAGGAGATGATTCTTTACTTTCATTCATCCTCTCTTGGATGTTGGGTTTATTGCATTACAGATGTTTATGCCTTAAACATTAGCTTCTTCAGAGAAAACAATGAGACAACTTAGACTTGTTTTTTCTTTGATTCTGACAACAACAAAAAAAATCTGGAAAAAATAGCGTTCCAGAATATTTTTGCTTACTCTTCACTGCTCAATCAATACTTCCACCAGGCACAAGGGACAGAATGTCTTCCTTCACTTGGAAGTAGAAATGAGGTTAGACACCCAGATAATAGGTGACAGATGGTATTGTGGAGACAGATGGGGATGGATAAAATATAGATCTTATTTGATTTCATCTTAACTGCATTTATTCTATCTCCATTTTATTGCCCATTCATTGTTCCATGTCAGTTCAATTCTATTCTATTTCAACTTGAGATATACACACAATATAACGCTAGACATGTTCACTCAAAAGCATTTTTAGATCTTGTCATCAGCTAAATCTTCTCTTTTTATGGATTTCAAGTTTCCTATAATGAATTTTAGTGACTTTAAGTTTCTAACGTTTTAAAACTTGTAGACTGTAAACTTTTTAATAAAATTGTAATTTATTATATTTTGATAAGGGCTACCAGTTTATAATAATTTGCATGATAAAAAGGTTGATACTTAAAGCATATTAGTGACTTGCATAAAAGCATAAAGTCACTTATCTAAAAATTGGGCAAAATTGTTAAGTTCTTGTACAAAATAGGTTGTTATATTATTAAGTAAAATGCAATTTTTGATGAATGAAGTTATTAACTCTCTAAATGAAGTTAGTCTCTTCTGATTTGGAATTATTATCTGTGGCAAATACCAAAAAATTGCTCTTCTAGATGTCATTGATACTTAATAAAGTAATTTACATATTTTTTCTATGCTCAACTATAAAGAAAAATTATCCACCCTTATCCATCAGATCCTCTTTCATATTTTGCAATAATATCAAAATGATTGAGCAATGGCTACAACTCTGCTAACCATTTTGCCTGAGATAGGTACTCATGCTGATTTCATAGAGGAGAAAACCAAGGGGCATAAATGTTAGTTAATTTGGAATTCTAATAAATGGTGGAATTAAGATTTAAATTCAGATGATTCAACTTCAGAATCTGCATGTTTTGACCATTACTGCCACCCATTTCAGACACAGTTGTCTTTAGTACACACCTGAGATATGTAAGGATAAATATGACATTTCCTGAAGCAAATATTTTTTGTTCTGGCCTGCTGTGAGAGGTGTTCAACCACAGGGCAGTCTATTTGTGGCAGCTATCTTTTATTGAGTGATTTGGGTAATGTAAACCCATATTTATAATAACAGTGCTGAGAAGTAGGTACTATATTAGCATTTTCATTCTCCCCATGAGGAAACTGTGGCTGAGGAAGAGGATATAGCTTAACCTAAGGTAGTGGTTGTGAATGTTAATGGTAAAGTCAGCAGTTTGATCAAATTCCAGAATCATCCTGCACTATCTGCCTACCCCAATCTCCATTAATGATCTAGTTCTGGTGTGAATGTGGCTGAAAGCTACTTCAGAATGAGCTGAGGTGCTTATTAAAAAAGGGAGCTCCCCACACCTTCTTCCCCTACCTTCATTCCAAGTGTAATAATTCAGATTCAGTAGAACATGGCCCAAGAATCTGCATTTTAACAATAATTCCTTGCACAATAAGCTTGGAGCACAACTGTTTTATTTACTAACAAGAAAGTTTTTCTGAGCAAAATAATGTTTTTTCTAATCTTTAGTTTTAAGGCTCACATATGAGTTTTGAAAAGTAACTTAATATTGTCCTAAAAACTCTTGACATGTCACCAGTTGAATAAAACTACAAGGCTTGAAAACTATTTAGGACATGACTTACACTTTCTGGTTTCTAATACAGGAAAAATGATGACAGAAGGAGCAACTCGCATGCAAGTTGGAAGACCATGGCCTAGGGCTTTCATGGTCGGCAAACTGCGGCTCGCGAGCCACATGCAGCTCTTTGGCTCCTTGAGTGTGGCTCTTCCACAAAATACTACGGCCTGGGAGAGTCTATTTTGAAGAAGTGATGTTAGAAGAAGTTTAAGTTTAAAAAATTTGGCTCTCTAAAGAAATTTCAATCATTGTATTGTTGATATTTGGCTCTGTTGACTAATGCGTTTGCTGACCACTGCCCTAGGCAATTAATTTTAGCCGCAGTGGGCAAAGATAAGGAAAAAGTTGGAGCTCTGCAGAAAAGATAACTCTATGTTCTGTGTGTAATTTTGGACAGAATTCTTGGGCCAGCCCTCAGCTCCAGTGGTTTCTATTTAGCATTGTGTAACGGCCTCTCAATTGTCTAGTGATTTACCAGTAATTTTAGGCTTTCTATTTCTTTGCTACTTATCATTCCATGACTACCGAAAAAGTGAACAATAAAAGTAATCAACTGGGAACATTTTAATGAGGCAATCCAATCCGAAGCTTTGCATTTAAATATTTGTTCAAATTTGAGGAGATTATGCTTCCAAACTCTGTTTTACTTGGCCTAATGCACGAGAAAAGACAAAAAAGATTAGAGAATTTCTGGTAACTTCGAGCTACAGAAATAAAAAAAGGAAAAGGTTGTTTATGGGGAAGAGTTTATAGCAGAATGCTCTTTGAACAGATGGTTTGCTTAAATTGTTTACACTCCACTACCAAAAAGATTTGAGAGCAAGATTCTAATTTGGCCTTGATAAGAGGTGAAACTCTAGCCATGTTGTACTATGCCCTAAATGTTAAAATTTAAGCACGAATGAATCATTATAACCCAATTTTTTTTTTGTTCCTCTGTGCAGCACATGGCTTTCTAGACTGTATTGCTCTTGTGAGATGGAGACCCCAAATATAATTTCCCCCATTTAATGGCTGGAAAAATGTACACTCACATATTAATTAGTAGGTCAAGGTCTTTAATCAGTGAGGAGAATGAGGATTCCTAACTGGTTCACTTGATGTTCTCTTCCAAAGATACAAGGGTTTGTTAATTTTGAAAATCCACATTTTCTTGGTAATCTTATTTAGTGAGGTCTCTGATTAGCACTATAGTTCCATATCACAGTTTTCATTTAGGGTCTCTTAGGTGAAAGGTTAAGCATTTCACTAGTCTCAACTAGATCACAAAGAACTAGGAGGCATTCTGGAGAATGTGTTATTAATTTTGGAGGGTTATAAGAGTGCTCCAAACTTTAAACAAGGCATCAAGGTCTATATCACTGCCAGACCTAAAGAGAAAAAGGTTAATTGGTGTTTAACCTTAGAGTTATTTGAAAGGGGAATATGTTACTTGGAAAGTGTTAGATGAAAAATTACTCCAAAGAATGTAGCGAGAACCTGGGTAAAAAAACCCCAAATGAATGGCTATCTACTTAGCAGCCCCGAATTCCCAATTACTCTCTTGTTTTGAAATTGTCTTACATAAGCCTGAAGTGCAAGCAGATGCAGGTTTTTCTGTTTTTCCACTGTTTCCTATTAGGAATAGGGTGGCTATTAGAAAGGGTGACTTGTGCAGGATCAATAGCTAATAGTCACGTCTGGCTTTTAGGTAAAAAAAGATAAACAGATGCTTTAGGTTTTTATTGAGTGGTATATATTCTGATGCTCAGAATTCTGAATTATCCTGTTAAATTAAATTAAGTTTAGTTTGAAATTATTTATGTAGATTTTTTTGTTTAAGAGATAGCTATTTCTTAATAAAAACCTGTGTTTATCAGTGAACTTAGTACTAATTAACTGGTTCCTATACATGGTGCCTTATATCTGGTAAGCAGTTCTACCAATTTGACTATAGGTCTGACTCACAGTTCAAATGGGATTTTTTTTTTTTTTTTTAGAATATAGTATAGAGCAATAAATATCACACTCTTTGACTAGTTGACTGAGTTTTCCAGATTAATAAGGTCTTCAAGAAGATGATCCTGCAAAAACTGATCTGTTATTATCAATGACCAATGAAGATAAGAAAGGTCGGGAGGAGCAGTGCTGAGGAGGAAAGAAAGAAACTTTCAGGGGTGGGATTTTACTGGAGAGTGGCATGGCCACGAGGGACAGAGAACCAGCAGCATTGCCTTGCACTATTCCCAAATTGTTGGAGTCTTATGGACTTAGAGAATACCCTAATGATTAAAAGGATTTCTGGTTTCCAAAGGTTTAAATTTAGGTCAGAGGATGGAAAACTGAAAACTTCTCATGATCAGAGTGTCTTGAGACTGCAAAAATAACAATGGTAAGTAGTGGTTAACACTTCTGTGGCACTTTTTATAGGCTAGATATTGTAGATAATATCTAAAAATCAATCATTTATTTCTCACTACATCCCTGTGAGATAGGCAATACCATTATTCCAGTTATACAGATGGGAAACAAAAGCACAGGGAAAGTAAGTAGGCAATTTTCCCAAATGCACAGATTTAGTAAGTAGCAGAACCAGGTTCTGAACCAGGCAGTCAAGCTCCTGAGTCTGTGTTCTCACTTACAATCCATACAAAGAATGACATTCCTCAGGTACATATCCATTAATGGAAGCTGTGCATGTGTACATTCATCGGAACAGTGGTAACAGGCTATATATCTGGCTTTCCAAAACAATGCAAATTAATCTGTTTTCTGTAAAGGAATCACTTTGAATATTTCCTAGATTTGCAAGCTAGGGGCTTCTTGGATGCTCTCCCTGTTTCTGGAAGTCACCTGACAGTGGCCTAGCAAGGGAGATCGATCAAATGATCATTAATAACCCCCCTGGGAGCAAGTCCGTTTCAGAGTCATCAAAAATGATCTTGTGTTCCTCCTCCTCTTCAAAGGAAAGCCGTTGGGGAGCAGGGAAACCGACTGCCACAACTCCCACTGCCGAGCTGGATCAGATGGTTGATCTATTGAATCAAGCCAGTGTCCTCAGCTGTCCTTTGTTGGCTGCCCTTTGATGAGTCCAAGTGTAGTGTGACTGATAAAGCCATGTTGGATGTTCTGATGAGTTAGCACTTGGCTCCTGCTATCACACAGCTTCTTAAAAGAAGCATTAGAACACCCTGTGGGGGCATGAGCAATGTTTCAATGGCAAAAACACTGCTTGTGGAGGAGCTGCCTGCAGAGGCACATGTTGCTTAGGCAGCCAGCTAGTCCTGCAGTGACTGATGGATACCCCATTCATTTCAGGTGTTTTCTTTCACTCGTGCTATGAGAGGGATGAAAGGCACCTTTGGAGGAGGAGGGACCTTGCATAATCACTCCATCTTTCTTCTGCTTAATGCAGACTCTTTCTGGAAGACAAATGACTGTTCACACTTGCATCAGCTACTAAACCCCATTAATATCTGCTGCTGTGGGTTGGATTTCTACATTTCTAGGATTGTTCTTCTGTGGCTGTTATTGACCTCTGTACAGAGCATTGAGTGCATGCTTTTGTTAGCTTGAAAGTATCTTAGAAAAAAATAGGCAGTAAGTTTCCAAGAAGTCTTATCAGTGGATCTACTTTAAATGGAAGTATATCATTGCTAAGACAATATAGTGGGTTTAAAACTTTATAACTCAGGTGTATAGAAATGATCGTTTTTTTTTTCTTTCTATTACTGAGTCCAACTCAGCAGCTCAAGCTCCTATTTGCTCAATTGGCTCAGAAATGTTTCTGTTGCCTCTTCAAGTTAGTTTAGTTACTTGCTATTTATTCAGTGAAATTATGAGATTATTGTTCTGGCCCCTTCTTTGATTCTCTCTAGAGATGATGTAAGTTCTTGTGTGACTTAGATTTTTCCTGGCACTAGGAGAGGAACATCTTGTGTCTTGGGTCTTCTCTGGTTCTTGTTGGCTTCCAGTGAGGCCTAGCAGTAAGGCCTACCTCTTGGACCTCATGCACAGCATCTGCGGTTGATATAGTTGAACCTGGCTAAGCCTCTGGTCTGGAGGTTCAGGCTCTATACCCCATGTTTTCATTCTGCTGCTCTTCAGACCACAGCCCTCTAAGCAATTCTCTGGTTTTCCTTAGAAGATGCTCAAGAACGCATGGCTACTTTCTGTGTAGAAAGTGGACTCTGAGGCAATCTAGGAAGATTCCCATGATTCATCTGTCTAGAGCCTTCCCCAGCCATGGTGGTAGCTCATGTGCCATGTTGCTTTGAGGCCACACCAAATAAAAAATTTCCTAAGAGTTTGTGCGGCTCCCTTGCTATGCTTTGAGAAACAAAGCATTTGCATTCTGCTCTGGGTGTGTTACATGCTTTTCTATTTTGGAGTTTTAATGATAGCGTGGCGGGTGGGTAGGTAGAGAGCAGGTTAGGCATCCACCCCTGTCAGCATGCTACAACATGCTCAGCCTCTTAAGACTCTCACCTGGCTCATCTCCTTTTCCCCCTCCCTTTTCCCCTCTCCCACCTCCCATTAAAGGTTCTATCAACTTTTACTGTCGGGAAAACCTTATGTTTTATCTCTGCTCTGAGTTTTATGCTAAAAATATAGTGCTGAGTCATTTAAGCTTTGGCTCATTGAAACTTACTAGTCCATTTCCTCATAATCATACCTGAAAGCCTTGCTTTCCAGAATGTTATCTCAGCTATTGGCTTTAAAAAGTCAGATTCGAATATCAAAGCTGAAGGATGGCATTCTGGTTCTATGCTGTATATCTCCTCTCCTGGAAGTGAGGGATGCAGTTGTTTGATCCAGTAGTAGAGTGGGAAATACAGATTCTTGGGAAAGAAAATGCATCCGTTAATAATTCAAAAATATCATCCCAGCCACAACATTTTTCTCTTTTAACTGCACGTCCTTGTAAAAAGTTCAGGTTCTCCTCTCCTTTTTCTTCTCCATAGCATTGGAAATTTCTCATTATTGGGTAAGGTCAGATGTAACCGAGCTTAACCCTTGGGCCCCTAAATAAGATTGTTGCCCATAGAGGGGAGGAACTATTGTGATCTTCACTTCTGAGATGAGAAGACTGACTTGAGGAGGTTGTGACTAGGTCCACTCACCTAGAAAGTGACAATACTGGGGTTCAAACTCAGTTCTGTAACTTCTTATCTAAAATTTCTAAGGTTGACATTACACTGCCAATTCCAATGTGAGTTTACTTCAGATTTCTCACTCACACATGAAGCTAAATCATCCTGAAAAACCCCACATGAAAATTAAGTTCCTACAAAAGGATTTCATGTGAGTGAAATTACAAGTAATTATATATAACTTTTAAATTTGAAAGAAAACCAGTTCACAAGTTTCTAATAATCTCAACATTCTTTTTTCTGAGTAGTTTAAAAAATACATTCTAACTAAATAGTGCTTAAATATAGTAGTTTTTTTTTAATTAAAAAAAAAAATAAGCCCAGTGGGTTGGTAATGCAAAATGACTCAACAAGTCTTCACTGGAACCTTAAATACCAATTGCAATATCTATTGTCATAATAACTTTGTGGGGAATAATTTAGTTTTCCTGATAGATCTCATATCTACTCAGCCATGAAATATTGCAATTTTGCAACAACAAGAATGAATCTTGAGAATATCATGCTTAGCGAAATAAGTCAGGCAGAAAAAGTCAAGAACTAAATGATTTCACTCATTTGTGGGATGTAAAACTGAAAGTAACAAATGAACAAACAAGACAAACAAAGACTCATAGACACAGTATGGTGGTTACCAGAGGGAAACAGGGTGGAAAGTGTAGTAGAAGGTAAAGGGGGACAAATACATGGTGAGGCAAGAAGATCTGAATTTAGGGTGGTGGGCACATAATACAATATACAGAAGATGTACCATAGAATTGTACCCTTGGAACTTATATAATTAACCAATGCCAACCCCTATAAATATAATTTTAAAACAGAGAAAAGTGAAATTAAGGCAGAAAGAACATAAGAGTGAATAGTTGAATATAAACTGTGAATAATTTTTTATTACTTCTTAAATTAAAGTTAAATATTACGAGAAAAATAAACACGAAGAGCAAAAAGCTCATGTATTATTAATGGGCGATTTCAGTGTGTGTTTCAAGTAGTAGAAATGTCAGCAGTTGAAAGTCTGTGATAAATTTATGTCATATTCATGAACACACCAGAAACCCAGAAGGATATGGAGCTCACCATTCCCTTCCTTAATGATACTAGATGCATTTTAATAGGAATTTCTTAAACTTGTGTACTTTGAAATGCTGATAAACTCCGGCGGTGTCTCATATATTATCTGATGATGAATTATCGGTTTTGAATTTCTGTTTCCTCAAAGCATGACCAGGTTCAGTTACAGTGTATTATTACTAAGGGGTTAATTTTCAAGCCAGTGAGTGATGAGAATGGCCAGTGATAAGGGAAGGGGAAAAAAAGCAAATATAGTTGATATAATTCTTTCCATGTGAATACTTTTTTCTGTATTTTTCTTTCTTTCTTTCTTGCATTTGCTGTGTATTGTGGAAGGAATGACAATTGCCTTGTTTAGTCTGGTCAGAGGAATAGGCATGGGGTTAGTAACGATTTTATGTGCAGGATGGGGAGTTCACGCTAGCATGGAGCTGTCATCCGCCTCCAGTGGCGGGCCTGCCACATAAATAACATAAACAACACCTGCCAAAGCAGCCCTCTGAAGTATTCAGTAGTGACAAGCCGGAGTGTTGAGTAGGTGTTCTGCAGTTACATTCAACTGCTGTTCAATTATAGTCTTAATCAAATATGATGCCCTGATTCCAAGGTGGATGTTTTATACCATCAATTTGAAGCAAACCTCCAAATTTCCCTGAAGAGTGTGTCACTTTATATGAAAATTGTAAGACAGCAGTGATTCTTTTAGGATCAGTGGTAATATGATTCATCGGGTCCTGTTGACAGGTGATGTGCTGTGCTTAGTCTGACCTCGCTCAGAGGCTGACACCGTCTGCTCTCCAACAAAACGTGACATTTCCTCTTTCATGCCATCCCCAGGATCACTAATCTTTTCAGGCTGAAATAGCAGTACCGTGTTAGCGCTATAGTCAATGATTCACACACACACACACACACACACACACACACACACACACACACACACACACACATCTTCTTTGCTCTACAGACAAAGAAGATGTGTGTAAACTTAAGTGTTACTTAAGTGTATTTCTCTGGTAATGAGCAGTGAGTTCTCTTCCCGCAGACTATGACTGTTTTTGATCCTCCTGCCCTGGAGACAGAAGCATAGTATTATTTTTTCTGCAGTAGCCATTTTTGTTTGTTTGTGGTAGAATTTGAAATAAGAATAGAGATTGTATAATTATAT